CCCTAAGAAAATTCAACATATAAGTCAGAATATTGCATAAATATAAATGTACAGCAGAATGTAGCGAAACATTTGTCCGATAAAGCAAGTTTTGAAACAACACGGAGCATGGCGTAAGCTCACGGTTTCATGCATTGTATGCGCAGACTCTGCATGATGCCGCACTTTGATCTTTTCTCCAATCTGAAGCAGATATCCGTCTGTAATGAGTGTAATGTAGCCTGATGGAGTTATGGCAGCCAAAAGAGGGTTGGTGTTAAATGGCGCTTACAAGAGGGCACTGTGAGCAATGTGAGCTGGTGCGTGAGACAAGCAATGCGCTTGCATGGTGATGGGAATAATATCAAAATCATTCCTCAGGCAATTTCCTGCATTCTTCTGGGGTACAACAGAAATGTGGTGGAAAAAGCAAGCATCTACATTTTGGATATTGTGTCTCATAGTTCTAAGGTTCAGCTTATTGTGCAGAAACACAGACAATTTGCTTTTTCAGACTTTGCTTCATTTCTATCATTTCCCTTCCTCTTTCCTGCTTTGCTTTTCTTTTACTGAGCCTCAACTCTTGTGGGATTCACACTGAGAGAAATCAATTTTGCCTGGCCCCTTTGCCTTTGGAAGGGAACACAGGCATATATAAATATTCACATGCGGCTATTTCAGATACTCAGCTTAGGGACTGGATGAGCTGTTCTTGTGTTTGATCATGGAGACTGCGTACATGCGTCTCTGGATGATTTCTCACTTTCCCCTCACATCCCTCTCTTCTTTAATTTCTTCTTTCCGTAAACTCTCACAGTGCTCTGACTCTTAACACCAGCCTTTTTACCCTTTGATTTCCCTTTCCTCCTGTCAACTTCTGTTTATGTATTATTTTTTTTTCCTTTATGTTTGTTTCTTTTTTTATGCATTTATTCTACCTCTCACCACCCCAGTCATTTACCTTTAGTATTTTCCTCACTCCTTTTTGCTTTGTTCTTATTTCTCTCTTTACTCACTTTGCTATTCCCTTTGTCCAAACATTTTATTTATTATATGTCACATCCATCCCATTTTTCTTTCTTCCTTACCTTTCTTCTTCTACATTTATGGCCTCACTGGCTTCCAAATCCTCATTGCCTTTTTTCTTACAGCTTTAATGTGGCTTTTTTATCACCTATTTTTGAGTTTTTTCTTTCTTTTTTCTGTTGTCTTCTTTCTTCTTCCATCCCTGTTAGTCTTTAACAATTCTATTTAACTTGTTTGGAAATAAGAAAACATTCAAAGTTCAAAGTGTTGAGTCTTATTCATGACTCCTATTGCTTTTATATAAACAGCAATGATTTCTATTTTTAGGAATCATCAGCTGTTTAATATGATGTATTAAAGGAGATCAACAGCAGGGAAAGAGAGGAACAAACATTGTTTTGCAAAATGTTCAGACTGCTTGATCTTACATAATTTATTATAGTAATGGAAACATAAGCAATAATGTTCCCCAGAGCCTGAATAGTTACACCATCAGATTCCTGGTCACTGGGGTATTTTAACATGTAAACAGCATCAGAACAAGGACTTTATAGAATGTCTTTCCATTTAGAGACATCGTGAGAAATCTGCTGGTCAGTGAAATCAGGAGATTTTTCCCTTGATCTGCCCTGGCAGGTGATCAGCCGGTTAGAAACTCAGCCATCCATTATTCTTTCCTGTCACTGAACACACCATCACTGCCAGGTCACAGCGAGAACAAAACTAGTTGGTGTAAAGGCTGTTCCTAAGTAAAGAAGACTTAAACTCTGGTATTTACAGTGACAAATGATACCACCACGAGACCAATCACCAATAGAGCAGAAGGTACTTAGAATGTACCAAAGTGGATAATATAAAGAAATGCTTTGATATTTTTTAGTCATTGTATAATTATGCTGTTCTTCCACCTGAAAACTATCATCTAACCAAGCAAAAATATAAAAAGATCTTATTTTGTGCCAGATTATCCGTCTTGGATACAAAATCCATCAATATCCTGATTTTATGCTACTGTTCAATGCTGTGTCTGGGAAATTAAACAATCTCTTAATCATGCTATCAATGGCACCAAGTGTTTATTCTGAGAATGCAACAGCAGACAGGTGAACTAAAGGCAGACTCTCAACCATCCTGCTGAAGACAGCTGCAGTAAAGCTCTGGCAAAGCATCACAGAAAAAGAAAGTAGTTCTTTGATGATCAATGGCTTCCAGCCTTCAGACAGTTGGCTCCAAAGGAAACTTTTAACATGTCAGAAACATTGTCTATAAAGTTGTTGAGTCAATCCAAGTCTACCAAGAGATAGCTGCTCATTTTAAAGAATGTTGATGCCTGCACACCTTTATGCAAATACAATCAGCTCACACAATGTTGTTTCGACACTTATTTTGAGTAATTATTTCTAACTCAATAATGCTGTTCTAAATGCCCATGCTACTGTGCACAGTTGTGTGGGTTCACTCTTTAAATACTCTAAAATTCACTCTAAAATTGAATTTATTTACACCGTTCAGAAGCTGAATGTTCTGACCTAAACTCAGTCCCAATACAAGTTACTTGTTTTGAACTAAACTCAGTCTATTAATTTAAACACTTTTACAGTTTAGCACAAAATGATTAAAACATCTGGTAAATTTAGGCTTAAAATAATGTTTACCAACATTTAATTTTGCCTTCACAGACCACAGACATGTGTTTTGACCTTTACCCTCAGCTCTCTCCATGCATGGTCATCTCACTCCCCGTTTCTGTGTTTCTGACCCTCAGAAACACATCTTTGCCCTTTCGACAGGATGGATTTGTCTTTAGACAAGTGATTTATAGAAACAATCCTGGAACTTCCTTCTACAAGGTTCATAAGTTCATTAGCCAAGTGGCTGATTCATCATTTAGAGCAGGTTTCTTCAACTGCAGTCCTCAAGGACGCGTGTCCTGCAACTTTTAGAAGTGTCTCTGCTTCAACACACCTGAGTCACATCATCAGGTCACTAGCAGGAGTCTGGAGAACTGAGGAGGTAATTCAGATGTGTTGGACCAGGAACACATCTAAAGGTTGCAGGACACTGGACCTCGAGGCCTGGATTTGAAGACCTCTGACCTGGTGACAGTCTGAACTTAACTCTTCAGTCTCTAATCTCTTTTTCTCGACCTGATCTCTCCTGGACGTTTGTGTGACCATTCTGATTTTTAATAAATGTTTTGAATCTGTGCTTGGTTGAGTCATCTGGTCCCCTGTGAGACTTTAAATTAATAAATGAAATCATTTAAAAATTCCTTTTTGCATTCTGTTGGTTTTATCTTTGATCTTAAAATGTGTTTGATCGCAAACATTTGGATGCGATAAACAGTAAAATTCCCAGTGGGGGCAAATACATTTCATGCCGTTAGTAAAGTGTTGCTATAAAATGACAGTGCTGTTTATAAAATTACTTGTGTGCTTTAAAAATGTTGATTATGATTTATTTTTATGAATATGTATTTTTACTAATGAGTGTCAGCTGCACACCTTGTTCTGGTCAGAGCCTCACCCAGACACTCAGTGCATACAACCAAGCACTGCCCTGCTAGGTTCACTTCCTCTCCCCAGGCTACTGCTGGTCTGTTTGGCACTGATAACTACTTCACAGACTTCTTCCACAGATAACTGCACCCCTCTGTCTTTATGTCCTCACTCATTCTCCTTCTCTCCCCATTGTCAGCTTTGTTTTACAAACGGAGCAGTGATACTTTCTCAGAGGCGCACCACTTGCACTCTGCAGCCCAACCGGCTGTCAGGCTGGATGTGCTGTGACAGGCGGGCCTACATGGTGGACAAACACATGAATATAAAGCATGAGGAAACAATCACATCCCAGTGCCTTACGTGACCTTACCTTGACCTGACACGAGACGCCGCCCTTTAATCGTCACAGCTGATACACCTCGACAGGCGTGTGTATTATGTGAGCGTGTGTGTCCTGACAGTTGCTCTGATGCATATTTCATATGAGGCTGCTAAGTGTGTGGCCAAAAGTAGGACATGAGGGGGGCGACATCTATCTTTGTTAAATGCCGATGTATTTTTCCTCTTTTGCAGCAGATGAATGCACATATTCAATTATGATTTTTTTATTGCCTTTTAGTTTTTGATGATTTTCTTTCTTTTCATTTCCTTATCATGCAGCCTCAGGGCTCATTTAGAGGTATGTCTATTAACCACACACTCGGACAGATGTGCACGCTTGCTCGAACAAAAGGAGGCAAACAAACAGAGACCACCTCAGCCGTTTGAGGACACTATCTGTTTAATGTTATTTATAAACAGCTTCAGTCTGGCATTGTTTGATAACCACATAGAAAACATTTGGGCTCCACAAAGGAAGAGAGAAAAATAATACACAGATGTGTGTGTGCGTGTGTGTGTGTGTGTGCTTATTGAAAAGAGAGAATGGCGGCACAGGAAGATGAGAAGGGAAAGAGAAACGAGGAGGAAAGATGGAGAAAGAGGATGACGAATAGAACGTAAGGAAAAAGATAAGGAGGAGGAGCACATAGGACACTGCAGTGTGCTGTTTATCTTGAGTGACTCAGCAAATCAAAAAGACTGAAAGTCCCCCCACCCCAAAAAGAAAACAATTATAAGAATATTAAAAAAATAACAAAGTTCCAGCCTTCAGCTCCCTGTACATTTTTCATGGGAACAAGCGAGACACAACAGTCTCGCTTCTCCACTTCTCTCTTTTTTTTTCTCATTTTTGTTTTATTACAAAAGTCATTCTCACAGGAATAAACGGACACAATTTACATCACCTCTTGGTTTACAGCAGCACAAACAAAGTTCACTGGTATAGGGACCTATAATCCTATTTGTCAGGACAGTGACACTATAGTGACAGGCCGCCCAATGTTCCCGACATCGAGATAGATAGACACGAAAAGGTGGGGCTCAGCGGGAAACACACACAAGCGGGGGTACAAATATGGCCCCTGCCTCTGGAGTCCAATACGAGCCTGTTTGTTTTGGGGTAGTCTGTAAACCAGATCTCAATTTTTGTGCTTTTTTGTTTTAAATGACCTGTCATAACTGTGTTATTTTTTGCTTAATTATTGTTTGATTATAAGTAGAGATGCACCAGTCATAATTCTGAGGCTTATCTGATCTCCACCTTTGGAGAGCTAATATCTGACACTGATTTTAGTTCATTCCTATTTTTAGTTAGATAACAGCGTTTAAAATGTTTTTTTCTAGTCTTCCTGCCTAGAGTGGTGAAAATGATTTACACTTGGAGCACATTTGGGGATGTCTGACTGTGTTTGTGACACAGCTGTTAAAAGATTTGTGATTGTTTTTCAACCAAAGACAAACTATGGTGGCCCTGAAGTGCAAAACACATCAACAAATCCCTAAATACAACTACAAAAGGAAAAATCTGTCCATCCATTATTCAACACACTTATTCCCTTGTGGGGTCATGAGGAGTGCTGGTACTTTCCTCCAAAGGCCACAAATTGAAAAATACAACTACAAATTAATAAATATATATATATATATATATATATATCTGATTGGGCGATTCCTCTTTTGACGTTAGAACCGGAAATTATTCTGGTTTTAGCGCAGGACATTCGTATTTATTGAAAATACAAATGTTACCAATGACGCAAATATAGCTACTGAAAACATTACCCATTTATCGTCATTATACAAGATACCAGAAAAAACTGAATTTGATGCATGTTAATGATGCTGCACACTCACTTACAGTAGGTGGCAGTATGCACCTTGAAGGCGTTTGTGATCCGCCATTATAAAACAAAAAAGAAGAATAACATAGCTACCCATAGACATGAATACTCAGGAGACTTCATGTCTACGTAGCTACGGCTATCCAAGAATATTTTGAGTTGGGACAAACCGCGAAGCTTTGGGGGGGTTTCTGCAGTTTGGGCGATGCATAGCACTGTGACTCTGTCTGCTAATCTAAACAAAGACAGAGAATGAATGTTAGAATAACATGCTTAGTTAATGTCATGTTTTTGAATAGGTTGTTGTGTGTAGTGATCTGTTGAAGTGGTTTGCGCTTCAGGGCCAAAGTAACACAATAATAATGGAGTTCACATTTTAAACTGTGTTTAGCATCTGATATTACCAATTAGTATGACTACCCTGAAAAAAACAAAAATCTCCGTGTAAGAGAATGTGAACTGCCTTACAGAGATAGTTTTTAGTAAGTGATTAGGTTCCCTCCACTAGTAGAAAAGTGGACAGCTCCACATGCTTATGAAACACAATGAATGGATCACTAACATATATTAGACCAAAATTTATTCAATGCTACTGTCAGCTCATGTTTCTTTAAATGGTACTCAGATCATGAGCACAAAGGTATCTTTTAAAGCAAGATTGTGTTTTTTATGGATGCACAGTGAAAACAGGCTTGCTGTTTTCCTGATGTGGATGAATTATCTCTCAGGAACAAAAGGATAGAAAAACTGCAGTAATGTTCTTCCTTGCAGTCTATACATCTTCAATACCCACTTACTACCTCTGGCTCACCTGAAGGGTTTCTACTCCAGTAGTCAATGGACTCCACCTCTCATCTATTGACTGCTGGCCGACATGAACCAGGGGGTCAATGAGGAACTACTTCTTCCCAATTCACTGTCATCAACAACAGGGTAATGTGACAATCTAGTTGCTAACATAGGTTTCTCTCGCTCATTTTTAGTTTTGATTGTTTTTAACCACAGAAAATAAGTTAAAACAAATGGTTAATTTGACTCACTTTGGGAATTTATTCACCTTGGGTGAATCTGTCTACAACAGGAAAGACAGCTGTTACTGCTAATTTAAACAATCCAAACTGTCCCTTTAACTGAGATTTCCAAAAGGCAGCCAAGATAACAGACCAGGGTAGAATATTCAAAAGGATAAAATGAAGCAGTTTTTCTGGACTCTGTTCAGCTTTTCTGTTATCAGCTGAAAATCAAACTCTCCCTCTTTCAAAAGAAATAATTACAGATGTGTTGCTTACAGAAAAAGTGTTGCTTCTTCGATCTTTGTGCTTACTCTTATTTTTTGTTCTTGTCTTATTTTTAAACTTGATCCTGAGAATAGCTAACTTTGAGTCTTTTGTACTTTTGAGTGATCTCTGGAGATCAACCAGAGCAATAACCAAATTTGAGTTCCCAAATGGCTGGTAGCCTACTGGAGGTATTCGATCTGAAAACTGTCCACTTCCTGTCACGTGTCAATTTATTGGTGCATCCCTACTTATGAGGAGCAGCTAGTTCAAATAAAGACAACAATTCTTTGTTTTGCTGTAGAAAATTATGAAATTATGATTTGTGTTATCAGTTTCCACGGTGAGCTGCACAGATGTCTAGAGAAAAAAAACAAATGAGAGTCCCGGGTTTGAAGTGAGCTGTGACGGTGGTTGGTCTTTTTTTTTTTTTTTTTACTTTCCAGGGGAAGACCACTGTTGAACCGCTCTGTTATCAAAGGGTGTGCTGTATCCCACTGTTCATTTTTCATGGGTAATTCTTGGAGAAGAGCACATAGCCTCCACATGTCATAGGGATTTCCTCTCTTCAGACCTAGCAGCGATAAAATCCAACTCTTCAAACAGGCTTGAAGATCAACAAGTCCTTGTTAAACCAGAGAGGAGCAGTCCGCAAGCTCCTTCATTCGTCACACACTCTGACCTTGCTTTTTACTCAACAGAGGCTGATCAAACCTCTGACACAGAATCTGTTTCCTGTGACAGTTTGGACTGAATGGTGCTTTGAATGATACACAAACCTCCATTGTGTTACAGAGGGAAGTGCACATCACTTTCAGTGAATCAGAAGTTTTATGACTGAGACTAAATCCCCTGCTTTTTCTAAGCCTGCAGAGAGGTGCTCAACCAAGAGAAGTTGCAGTGAATGAAATTGTCTCTTGCCTCCAGATGTTGTTCATAGGATAACTGGCTCCCATTAGGCACTCTTTTTATCTAGCTTTGTTGTATCCACATGGCTTTAGAGTATTTATTTTCCTTTTCCACTTTACACCCACAGTTACACAACAGTTTCTCAGAAATATTCACTCACTCTAGGATGCTGAATGAGACCAGTTGGCTTTTAGAATGATTTGTTGGCTTGGAATGGCTTTTAGGTTGGTATGCAAAGTTGAGGACAAATGATAGCTTTCGACTGGACTGCTTTGACGAACTGACAGCTATATTGTTGTGTGACAATTTCAGCTGTATTATTTAGATGCCAAAGTGTACAGATGTGCATTAAAACTGCTGTGAGACGTGGGTGCAGAGCCAATTTGCCGGCGGATTGATAGTGATTACAGCTATTACCGCTGAAACTCTTCACAATGACTCATTTTCCTGCCACCAGTGTCTGCGGTACTTTGTTTCTTGATCTTAAGGTGCTGTTGAGTGAGCAAAGAGACAGCTTTAAATGACTGTCTTTGTCCTAGTGTGAGTGACAGATCAAGGCTGTGCTGTGAGAGCACTACTGAGTCAAGAGGGTTAACTGTTTTGATACTTACTGTGTGCTCTCACTGTAATTTGAATGAATAATTGGCTCATGAGGCTGTACAGTTTTCATGAGTACATAAATTTGATGAAGTGACTGATGCCAAAGAGACAGAAGTTTCCCTGTTGTTTCTATGCTGACATCATCAAAACAGTGGGCTGAGTTTTGCTCCCTGACTTCCATCTTTTGACACAAGAATCCCTGCATTTTTACCGCAGGAATACTTCACAATGTTCCCAAAACAGTGTCAAGTACACACTTGGTTGTCCACATGTCTCCTTATATAGCCAGGACAGGGTTTTTTTTTTGTTTGTTTTTTTAGGAGAATTAATAATAAGGTTGCATCATTAGCACATAAGTGTCTGGGTTCTGTTTCAGCGCAGGATCATAAAATAGATTGACAGAAACAGAGCTGATGACAAACAGGGAATAAATGCCACTGTGTGGGACCCAGTGTTATTAGCTCTCTGGACTCCACTTGGTGGACCAACAGAAGTTCTGGGGATGCACTTGTTTCTCCTTCTTGAGGATGCAGACATATCGTATTTACCTCCATCTGGAGAGTAGTCCTTCTCATCCCCCTCCTGAAGTACCTGTACCTCATTGAGCCCCCCTTTTCCCTTGCGGCCCCTGCGGGTACAGTTTTTGCGGCTTCCCTTCGGTGGACGCGGCAGGGGTGAGGGCGAAGGCAAGCTGTACTGGTCCCCATGCGGCAGGTACGGCCGCTGATGATGGTTGTGATGGATTCTGTGGCGGTTTAGGTGGTTTAAAGAGTCTCCATGCTCCATCTCCCCTCCAGAGTTGCCTCTTCTGTGACCCTCGTTCGACAAGCAGCTGGGTAGCTCTTCCTTCTTCACCATCTTCATATCCTTTCCTGCCAACTCCGGCGGTGAAACGCAGATCAGAGTGGATGTGGAGCCCCTAAACCTTCGCAGCCAGTCCCAGAGGGATAACGCCTTGCAGTCACATTCCCAGGGATTGTCATTTAGACGCAGGTACTCCAAGGCTGGCAGCTGCATCAGGGTGGCACCGGATAGCTCAGTGATGGAGTTATTGAACAGGTAGAGCGTGGTGAGACGACGAAGGTCATGGAAAGCCTGCCGATCAACCCACTGGATTCGGTTCTGGTGCAGAAGGAGCCGGTCCAAGACGCCCAATCCTCGGAAAGTGTTCTGGCGAAGACTCCAAAGCCGATTCCCGTGCAGGAAGAGATGGCTCAGGTTCAGGAGGTCGATGAATAAATCATCCTCTAAGAACTCTAATTGGTTATCCTGGAAAATAATGAAGGAAGAAAGACAAAAAGGGAATCTGAAATTAGTTATAGTTCATTCATCATTTAATAGCCTTTATGTTAATTCCAGTAATGAGTAATATTCTTTATTGGAATAAGTTTTGAAATAAGATTTATCTTTAGCAGTCTGCTGACCTCACGTGTTATAGTAACATAATATTTCTGGATTAGGCCACAACATAAATGCTTGTTTTGTTCTACAGATTACATTCACAAACTTGTACTCCATAAATTCCAGGGAAAAGATTAACTCTGCAGGTTTGCAGGATTACTGGTAATCTCTGCAGCTCACAGAGGCTAGAAAATATTCTGAGCTGTGTTGGAGGTTACTAAAATGATTTGCTGCTTGTCTTTGTGTGCTTGGTTCAGTTTGAGGAATCGGTAAAAAACAGTCATGTCAAATAAACTGGTTTGACTTTTTTGTAGATTTCATGACCAATTGCACAAAGTGTAAACATTTGTATATGAGGATCTGACTTTAATCCTGTTATTTGCTGGGTACTTGATAGATTAAAATGCTGTTTCCCTTACTAAACAATGTTGGTGATTAAATTATATTTTTAACCCTTTCATGCATAGTGGTCACTATAGTGGATAGTGGACAGCTGTCTAAAAGCCATTTTCTTGTGCTTCTTGTGGATTTTTATGTTATAAATGCACACAGACCACTGAAGTGTATTTTATGAAGTGCATCATAAAATACACTATCAACTACTGGCCATCAGCTGCTAATGCAAGAAATTTTTTTTTGTTAAATCCAATATGGCCGACAGACAAAAAAGCCTGCCGACTGACCCGGTCCCTCCTTCTACTATAGACGACTCTTGCAGGTAAAAAAAAAATATTGTGACATCAGATGACCCCTAAAGAACAATACTATTGATGTATTTTTCAAATAACAACTTTGTATTTGGAGAAAATTACAATTGATCACCTAAAAAAAAAAAAAATTAAAAACATTTTAAAAATTACAAAAAAAAATTTTGCTACCTTTTTTATGCCTTTAGAATTTTTTTAAAAAATGGAAAAATAAAAAATCCTGACACAAAGGATCATAATTCATGCATGAAAGGGTTAAAACAGAATGATAGATATTTTCAGCAAAATTTGGAGAATACATAAAAAAGTAGTTAGGTTAGTATAATAGAACAGAAAACATGTCATGGACATTAGGCAATGATTTGTGTATTTAATTATCTTGGTGCTGCTTTGCATGGTCAAGCTTCTGTGGGTAAATTAACTTATCTGCTGTTAGCATTTCATTAGTGTCAAATGTCTTGCAGTAGGTCCATAAAACACTACTGTATAAGGAATGCAGATGTAACATTTAGCCGTAGAGATTAAAAATGGGCAGTTATCCAAGCACCTGTAGGTAGAGATACTGAAGATTATGTAGACCAGCAAAGATCCCTGGAGGCAGACTGATGAGGCCACAATGGTACAGGTGCAGCGCGTGAAGCCGACCCAGACCCATAAAGGTGTCTGAGGCGACAGCCTTCAGGTGCCGGTTATCCCCCAGGTCGAGCTCCTCCAGCCGGTCAAAGCCGTGAAACGTGGACGGCTGTATGTAGGAGAGGTTGTTCGAGTACAGCCACAGCATGGTGGTAGTGGGCGAAAAGTGGCCGCGGAGCAGCCGCTGGATCTTGTTGTTCTGCAAGAAGACACGCTCACTCTGAGCGGGGATGCCCTCGGGCACGGCATGGAAGTTGTGAGCCTGACAGGAAACGGTGCTAGGTGAAGTGTAGCAGATGCAGTGGCGGGGGCAGGGCATAGAGAGATCCAGGCCCCACAGCACCAGCAGCAACTCCACCCCGCCATAACCTGAGCGAACAAAAGGGAAAGAGAGGAGAGTTAATGAAATTCAGACAGCAGAGATTCTATTATCAGGCACATCTTGAATGAAACACTTGATAATGCTGGTTTGCAAGGATTTAAAATGGAGACTGTTCAATGCAGGAGGAAAGATATACTCCTGACAAGATTTTCACTCAACATTTCAACTATTCTCAATGGGTTTGCCTACCTTTCCAAAAATAAAATCCTCAAAAAAATACAAGGCATTCCTTGAAAAATATAAATATGCTCCAGACTTTCAATGTCATCGTTTGGTGGTACAGTTATAAGAGAGGTACGTACATCTCTATGTTCACATTCCCTGCAACAGTCGTGACAGCGCTGCGTACCCGGCTGCCTAACATGCACAGCATTATATCCTTTGGTTATCCACCAAAACTGACAGAAAATCAATGTTTCTCCTGCTTACAAGTGAACACGCAGCACACCTGTAATGTGTTCCCACAATAAGGGGAAACCAAGAAGGAACGAGGAGGGAGGGCGAATAAAGGAGGGGGCCTGAGAAGGCTTAGGAGGGGGGTAGAAATGATCTGCAGCAGGCCTCTGAAGTGGGTATTACTTTTCTCCTATCAGATTCCCCTCATCTCACTCATTTATTTTTATATTTTTTTGATTTTTTTTTTTTTTTTTTTGCTTGCCTTGGATCATTTCAGTGTTTGATGTTTCTTAGAGCTGGAAATAGAGAGCGAGAAAAGAAAAAAAAAGAGGGTGGAAAGAGCATAGATTGGAGAGACACTGATCTGGGAGTAAGATCTGGATTGAGCCAGAGATAAAAATCCAACCTGAACATCATTCGTCCAGCTCCGTGGGGGCATACGCTGTCCGCCCTATTTCATTTGAAACCACAGCACAGATCCTTTTATCAGTTAAAACATATACATGTTTGGTCTTTCTAATAGCACTCGGATTAGTAGCCATTGCATTATGAGCATCCTCAGTAATCGGCAGATGTGATTGACAGATGCCACAGTGGTGCTGTATTAAAGGACAACATGTTCTCAAATGTCAGGAGAGGACTCCAGAGTATAATCCCACAAATGCGCGACCTGGTAACATAATGTGTATGTGGTAATGTTTGTCAGTACGTCTGTGACGAGGCATATGTTGCGTTTGACAAATGACCTTTTCCTCAGAAGAAGTTAACAGAAAAACAACAACAGCTGCAGTCTTGATATAATCTTATTGTTTTACCATGTCTTTTTGCCAACATCTTTTCAACACTTTCTTATTGCATGAATTAATGAATATGTATTATTAGAGTGGTCGAACAACAACTACTTAATTATTTGTGTGTTTGGACAAGCTTATTCTGGAATATTAATGAATTATTTAGAGTTAACAATAAATAATTCCAACAACTAAACTGTTTTAAAACCTTCAGCAGAGCGTGTGTCAGTTTCAGCTGTCTATCTGCTGAACATTTCAATTTAAAGTTTACATAAAACAAAATATTATATATACTCAACCACAAAGTAAACAAGCAAGTAATTTATCTATGTTTATATACAAATATTAATCATTTACAATGAATCGAAATGGTCTCTCATCTTCGGATGGTTTGTTTTTCAACCAGCAGCAACAAGTCAGTGATAAGCAAATTTCCATTAGCATTCATTTAATCTCCAGGGTAACCAACTTTTTTATTACCCTAACTCAAAAAAGTTAGGGCAATACAAAAATTTACTAAATACTCCATAAACATCTGAGCTAAAACTTAAAAAAGTCACAATTTGTTGTTTGTTTTGTGTTCATAAGAAGTCTAAATGCCAACCAGAGTTAGAAAACTTTTGAATGAGTGGAGCTAAAACGGTCCTCCATCCTCATCTAAAGTCAATAAAACCTGCTTCCTAGTGCATTTTTTCATTATGACATTAGCACAAAGACCATGAAACTCAAATAGCTTGTTAATCGTCTTATAATGTGAAACTACCTGGAGTTGTTAGTCTGACTACAGAAGTGCTACAAAGGTCATGTCTAATAGCTGCTAAGTAAAATTCATCAAGGATCTGGACCACCACCTCATGTTTGAGAACTGATGGCAGTAAGTGCTTTGAAAGTGAAACATGTTTTGTGTACTTGCTGCTGAAGTACAGCCACACTGCTGTTGTGATAGCTGCAGATGTACTTTGCCACAATCTCACATGGAAGACAAAAGATGCCATCTGGTTTGTAGAACAACTTCCTCCAAAACCTGTAGAAATCATTTAGCCTTAATGGTTTCTGCACAGATGCGCAGCTTACCCATGCGATGTGCATTGATGTACCGACATCATGCAAATCAAACAAATGCCTCGAAGACACATCAGAAGACAAACATGTGATGTTTTTGTATTCATAGACTAATAGAAAGCTTAAAAACGGACTGATAGGCGATTAATAGGAATATAATCAGTGAAACACCATTTACGCCTCATATCATCTACTGCTACTCTTTTCTTTTATCGGTTTCACACACCTATATTTATTAGTCTCATGGGTCTCTTGGCTAGGTGATCATTTGCTTTCAATGAAAAATAAATACATAGCAGGTATTCATCCCTGCAGGCTGTCAGGATTTAATCGCTCTGTTCTCTCTTCTCTTTTGTTTAGCCGGTTCAGTCCTGTGTGCCTGTTTGTTTTGCGTCTATTGCTGCATTATCCAAAACAGTTGTCTTCCTCTCCCGCTTTATCTTCATCCTCTGCTCCATCTCTCCTGCTGTGTCTGCTAATTAGGTGTAAAACCACTGTTTGTATCAGAACTGTGTGCAGAAGGCTACGAGCCATAGATTGTGTATGTCTTTCAGTTTCTCATGGAAAAAGCTTTATATAAATGACTCATATATTGTAAGGAATGTAATCTAAACCGAGTGGGCTCTATGTTAGTCGTGTCCCATTTTTTTTCATCCATCATCTGATTTTACAAACTGGATATAAGAAGACAGTTTCTCCACTGTATCTGTTATAATTATTAAATAAATTGTCTCCAGTGGAAATCTGCTTGGCACATGCTTATAATAAGAGCTCTAAACATAAGTTTGCATTTCCAATTGGTTTCAGTCCCTGACTGTCGTTTGTTGATCCCTGCAGTCATGCATTTTTTTTTTTTTTGGTTAAATTTTTTCTTCATCATTTCTATCTGACTTCCACTTTGTCCCACTCATCCTTTCCATATCGAACATCTCTCTGCTTTCTTAATCTGACATTACAAAGTTATTGTGTGCCATCTGAGGAAACGTCTGCTGACTGATGTTCATCTCTTCTTGTAAATTAACTGCAGATGTTTAAACATGGAAAGCGGAGATTGCGATATTTGTCATGGAAGCTGTTTCATAGGACATGGCTCTGCTATCGAGAACAGTGCCAACATGTTGTTGTTAAAACATTTGTTCATTAATAATTTCTCTTGTAGAAAATTGAATTGCTGCAGGAAGTCTGCGATGAATGTGAACGTGGTTAAAAATAGAAAACAGAAATGTGGAGTAGCCATGTGACAAAATGACTAACCTTAGAGTTGATAAAAGCAGAAGAGACTTGGGTTGAATCCAAATAGACTTATATAAACTTATAGATGAGTCTCTCCCTGCAAACACACCTGAGACAAATAACTACGTCTAAGTAATAAATAACTAAGCTAACTAGATGGACTCTGAAGTCCATGAGAAAATAATCAATCATTTATTAGAACTGTATTGGCTGTGGGACACATCAAGAAGTTGCATGACATCCCCGACTCACTTCATTGGTTCTCATTCCTGATCCGTAGGGCCCATAAGTCCCTAGCTGCCGCATGACTTACTTAAATAAGTGAGTGATTATCAGGCTTCTGCAGGAGTTGATAGCATGCTGAGGATGTAATGCAACCATTTAAATCAGATGTGTTGGAGCAGTGCCACATCTGAAACATGAATAACAGTGGGCCCTGAGGATGAGGATTCAGAAACAGTCCCTTAGATTGTTTTATTGGTTTAGATAAACTTCCAGCTGGACAAGAAAACAGCTGCTCCTTGCAAAATGTGTGAGTTGAAAGTTATGGATGGAAATGCAATAACTTTCAACCTTTCTCCTCTGTACTTTCTGCACAGCTAGTGGCACCCTAATTGAGTCTAAAATCAACTTCAATCATCAGAAAAGAGAAGACTATGCCCATTCAAAAAGACTCCTGCAGTTAATGTTTACTTTTACTATGCCTCAATATGCTCTTCATTTTCCTCAGTTTGCTGAATATCAATTTAAAAATCCACCTGGAAGTAATTACCTTTACACATGAGGTTTGATAAGCAATAAAAATCCCAGAAGATATTAACTTTTTTGTAAATAAATTGAATATTTTTGTTTACTTTTATATTCTCTTCATCTCCACCGTGAAGACGCACCATTAATTGCACCTGAAATCGTTAGGCTGATGCTACTCCAACATGAGAAACCTCTCAAGCTTTGATAATTTAACAGCACATTTTCCAAACGACTTGGTGTTAGATTCACTTTGTGATTTGTGTATATTTTGGTAAAGATGCTCATTTGACAGCTCATTTTGAAAATCATTTAAACTAAAATATTTTCAGAAGCAGGTCCTGTATCAAAGGCATTTTGTGACTCAACATTATTGTTTTATATTTGCTGTGAATCATTTGCAATTCGGTTTCCCTGAAACAGGTGTGGGAGGCAGTAAAGGAAGGAAATAGCTCCAGTCTGCTGCTATGCTTCATCTTTCTCATATTCAGTTACTGTGTTCTCTCAGCTGTCTGTTATTAAAGCTTAAAATGCCCAGAAAAATACTTGGAGGGGAGAAAATAATCTGCTGCTATAACGGATTTCCCTATTCTTGGAAAGCTTTTCATAAGAAGTATGAGCCTGGCTGCGAGGATTTGCATTAGTGGGGTCGGACACTCGTGCTGGATGTTCTCATTGGAAGTCTCCACCTCATCTCAAAGGAGTTGGATTGGATCAAAAACTGTGAGGTCAATCCTACTCAGAAACCGTTTTTCTCTTTGCAGACCTTACAGTGTGTCATTGACACCATTT